TTTTCCATGTAAGAAAGGCGCTATGATGCCGTGGCCTAGGTTTCTCACTGCGCGGGAATTCAAATCCTTTTTTTTTCAACGCAGTTTTTCGGGCATTTAGGATTTTTTTTCGAATTTTTTTGCAATAATATTAGGAAAATACATATTTTTTGAAACATTTTAAGGCAATTTTAAGGCATTTTTTGAAACATTTTAAGGCGTCCCCCTTTAATCGCCGATTCGAAAAAGAGCAGAACTTTCGAAAATTCCGATATAAATTCGATTGAAGCAAATCTGACACAAAATAATAATAATAAATCATTGAAATTCATTAAAAAATGAAATGTAAACAGAGTAAAAACTTATGAGAACAAAGGGAAAACGAGAAATACAACGACTTATTTTGAAGCATATGAAAATCCGAATACAATTGGGATCTACCGTAGTCTAAAGACGCATAATACAAGTTTTTCTGACCGTATAGGTTCTGTGCCTTTGAATTACAGTTATATATTTTTGTATTGAACAAAAATAGTCGCTTATCGCCGTTTTTCTGAATTTTTAGTAGCTATCCTTGTCATTTCGTTGAAAAAAAAACCTCAAATTTGAATGATTTTTCTATATTTAAGCAGAAATATCACACAGGAACATGCTGAAAATCAAAAATCAATGGAAAGTACTGTATTTTAAAGGAGCATAGGCAATTTTGTTCTTTTGGTTCTCACCACGCGTCTGTTAACTACAGTACGCCGGGCGGTGACTAAAACTTCGTTTTCGCCTATTTTCCGACGTTTTTCCTCGATTTTTTGCCAATTTTTCGGGTTTTTTCTCAAATTTTCTCGAGAAAATTGCAGAATAGAAATTTCAGCCGATAATTGAGCGAAAATGTCTGAGTTTTCCGTAAACTTCTTCTATTTCCTGGCAAAAATCAATGTTTAATTTTCAGAGTTCCAAAAATGGCTTCGAATATCGAAAACTTGGCCGAGAAAACGGCAAAATTATCGATTGACCCAATTTACGAAACGAATTGGTGTGATATGCCGGTGGAGGTCAAATTGGAGTGTATTGAAAGAATGGATTTCAAAGAAAGGTAAAAATTTAATAAAATTTTCCGGAAAGTTGAAAAATTCTTTCAGATTGTCGTTGAGATGCACCGCAAAGGCTGAAAAATCACTTGCCGATTCACAAAAAATGGATTTTTCCGAAGCCCTAATTTTCAGAAATTATATTACAGTCGCGTCTAATAAGACATCGTTGACTAAAATGTTCAAAGATGAGAAGATCTGGCTCAGTTTGATGCAATATGTTCTGAAGATTGGAGTATTTGACAAGATTTCCTTTCTTGTCGGCAATAAATTGAACAATTATATCGATGATTTTCTGACAAACTGTACTGAAATGATTTCTGCAAAAAACATAGATTTTGGAGATATCGATATGAAAACTGCAATCGTTATCCTCGAGAAATTGAAAGATGGCGTTGAATCGATTGGTTTCAATGCTCACAATCGAAGTTGGTTCTCTCTGGATGATGTTCTTCTACAGTCAAAAGTGAGATAATTTGAAGGAATAGCTAAAAATGGATTACTTTTTGCCACATTTTCAGGTCCAAAATGCGAGCTACTGCCAGATTAAAAACCTCATGTTTCTGGGATGCGTTCAGAAAGTTGCACAGGTAAAACTTCGATAATCTGAATACGGAAAGACATCATTTCATTTTCAGATGTGGATTGACAAAGACTCGAAAATCGGGACCACATTCCAAGTTTCAGTTGTCATTGTCATCAATGGCCCCTTTGGTTCTTTCGCCACGGATCTTGCTGATCGTATTGTGTAATTATTATTCGAAAAATCAATATTTCCATATTTTTTAATTTCAGTTCAAAAACTGAAAAAAGAATCAGAATTCGCACCAACAATCCAGATAAGCATATTCTTCTAGAGCGAGGAGGAGTGATCGAGCATATCCTTTCTCGCGAATTCTACCGTTTGATAGTGATTTCCGCTGAAATGAAGGAATCTGAATACGACGACGATTGCGAAGTGTGGATGCGCAGAATGCAGCCGGAGCAGTTTTTCGACCCGGATTCCGACGATTCACGCTATGACGATTACTACGGTTATGACGATTACTACGACAGAGATTACGATGATAACGAAGATATTTTCGGACGCCATGTTGATGATATCGATGAGGATTGGCATGGAAACTACTACATGTAGAAGTGTTTCGAATCGTTTTCTTGCTACGTTACTTGTTGAATAAACTCGTTGAAAAACTTGTCAGTTTCAGTAGTATATAATTGTCCTTTCTAGAACACTTTTGGGCCCGCCTCTAATTATTACCACTTTTGTCAAAATTTGATATCAATATCCAAGGATAACCCAATTAATCAATCAAAAACGACCTTTTAAAATGACCCCCTATTTTCCCGAAAATTCCTCGGGCCCTCCATCAGATCGTCAGCGCTCCTTTAGCGCTCTGTCAGATTATCGTCGGCTCTCCGTCAGCCTATTGCCACCTCTCCACCACGGTTATATCCTCCAGTATACCTCAAGTCTCTCCACTACGGATTCTTAACACCTTAAGACTCTCTACCACGAGTTTATCACTTACCCAGTTTGTCTTAACTTTGGACGATTATCTAGCACCTGGGGGACGTTCAGTATCTTGATACCTAGCCATGAACCCCAAACATGGCGACTGTATGCATGCCTACAATCTTAACTTTGTGCGATTATTCAGAACTGGGGGACGTTCAGTGTTGCCAGCCGCTTCACTAGAGAGTGAATTTGACAACACCTTAGCCATGAACCCCAAACATGGCGTCTGCACGCGAGCAGCTTAACTTACGTTCAATGAGTAGAGGAAGAGTTCCTGAGAAGTTGCATTATTTTTTTTTGAGCAGGCTTTTTTTATTTTTAGAGAAGTTTTTTTGAAGAAGATTTTTAAACAAGAGAAATTAGGGGGCGTGTCCAAATCTTGTTCGGTTCATAGTTAGTGACGTAAAGGGGTTCACCTGCTACCACGGAAATGTGGAGCTGAGCAATGAACTGCCTTATTGGTGTTAAAGGGATTCACCCGCTACCACGGAAATGTGGAGCTGGGCAGTGAATTGCCTTTGGAGGGATCCGCCCGCTATCACGGAAGTGTGAAGCAGGGCAGCGGACTGCCTCGAACACAAGAAGTTGTCAAAAACGAGAACCGAACTCGAGTGGAACAGGGTCATGGCAAATTCTCTTACCACCTGAGCCACACGCCCTTATCAGTATGCACACCATATTCAATATAAGACATGCCTAGGCACCGCAAAAAAAGGGGAGAAAGTCAGTACATGGAGGTCTGGTACAAAAGGGTCTGTAACTCGGGATTGAATAAAGATTTTTCGCTGAAATTTTGGGAACAGACTTCTATAAGATGGGAGAAGACAATCCAACAATAAAAACTGTGAAAAGTCTATTATGAAAATTTTGTTGTGGTGCCTAGACATGCCTCGTTATCACTGTTTCCAAGAGCACAAACTACAAAATGGGCAGAGTTCACAAGACACAATAACTGCTCAATGTAAATGCTCTCAGAGTTCAGGAAAAAATTGAGACCATTAACAGATGTAGATATCTTAAAATTAACAAAGGATTTACATATTAAAAATTTTAGAGGGGTATATATGCGCGATAGTCTTCCTGATGAACCGCAAAAAAATGAAGTTGCCATCGTAAATCTTGATAATAAGGAAGGCAAGGGAACTCATTGGGTTTGTTATAAGAAGGATATGCACAATCTATATTATTTCGACTCTTTTGGTCTGGACCCTCCCGACGAATTAGTCAGATATTTGAAACAAAACAGCCAAGATTCCCAAATCACACTTTCCACCTTTCAAATTCAAAACTTTGATACTCATCATTGTGGCTATTATTGCCTACTTTTATTGAAACTGTTGGAAAAATATGATTTCAAGAATGTCATAATAAATTTGATTTAAAAGTTTTCAAAATAACATTTTATGTTGAAAAATTATGTAATAAATGAACTTCAATCAATCTCAGTTATTTGAATCTCCGCGCAATATAATTGTCTTAGGAAACACAGGAAGTGGTAAATCATCCTTTGTTAGACATGTTATTTATCAAGAATTTTTAGCTGGAAGGGGTTTTGACTATATCTTTTTAATCTGTGCTACAAAAACGGAAACAGAAGAAAATGATTCATGTAATATAGTTTTCAAAAACCATCGCATAGTAATTGATGATAAATATCCAGTGGATGAGATGATAAACAATTTCAAAACATGGGGCGAAGAAAACGTAAAAAAGAGTAAGCTAGACGGCAAACCCATTCCTAAAGTATTAATTTTATATGATGATGTTTCTAAATTCTTAAAAAATAAGATGAAAGGATTTGGGGATATCAGTAGACATTTTAATATGTGGAATATGTTTTTGGTTCATAGAACAACATATCTTGATGCTGATACTAGAGGATCATGTAGAGTTTGGATTTTCTTATCTACAACCGATCAAAACATAGATTCATTTGTATCCAAGTATGTCGATAATAATAATTTCGATGAATGTGTGTTAATATATGATACAACAGCACATGGTAGTAAAAATGAACAGATTTCTTATTTAAGAAAATCTGACATAAAATTGAATTATAATTCTGATATTGTTTTAAACAAAACATCGGGAATTGATAAAGAAATGGCTGCTAACTTTTTCTATAATCCTGAAGCCATCGACACTACTGGATTTAATGAAGAAGATTTTGCAAGATGGAAATTATTTCTAGCACGCTTCAAAGCACTTAATCTTAAAATTAAACTAAAAGATCTTCTTCAACGACCTGATGAGAAATCTTCGATTCCAATAGAACGGAAGACATTAATAGAACGCGAAAAACCATTTGATAGTCGGATGAATTTCATAAGACCTAATGTGAATTTTCGATTCCAGAAGAAGAAGCTTCAACTTCTAGTGAAGAAAAAATAAATGCTGATTCTCCATCAGAATACGAATCGGAAACAGATGATCGTTCTTCAGTTGAATCGATAAGTGAAATATTGAGTAGGATTCACAACTAATTTTTGATTCGATAGTGTCCAAAAGCTAGGGAGTTTATGTTATCTACAAAATATCTTTTAGTCTCCTTATCCTTACCAATTATATTATTTAAGACAACTTTATTTTGTCTTACACTACTAATTTCATGTTTGCTGGAGGAAATAAGCGTTTGCTGTTTTCTTTCAATCGTTCTATTTTCTAAACAATTTTTATAATCATTGAAAGTTATTTCCTTTTTGACTACAGACTTTTTTATTCCTTTATTCTTCTTTTGTTCTGATCCATCATCAATTTTGAAAGCATATTGCTTAGGTCTGAAGGCAACAATCTCAGTCATTATTTTGCCATTCAACTCATCTTTGAACTTACCAATTACTTTTTTGTTCTCAATACTATACAGCTTATTGTCTGTAGGATAATCCGAGAAATCAAAATGTTCCTTCATAGACTGCATATCTTCATAAACATCATCAGTTTTAATTTCATAGATATAAGAATCAGTGTCTTGATAACACAATCTCAAATTCGAAGAATATTTTGGAAGCATAACATCGTAATGAAACTCGTACATGAGATACTTACTTAAATCCAGAATAGACATCCCAACATAAATAGGCTTGTCTAATTTAATACTTTTCTGAGTCATTTCCACTAAAATCAAATTGTTGTTCACAATATGTCTCTGTTTGAAATTATTGCTACCAGCCAGTTTCATAACTTTATCCATATCTGTCACTACTTTAACATCCACTCTATGTCTAACGTTCTCCATAGTTTTACCAAATACAGAATTGTTCATTAGCTTGAAAAAGTCTTTCTCAAATTCGTTCTTTGCTTTCTTTCTCAAGTTGGTATTTAGTTCTTATAAGAGGCAAGCCAATCGCTTTCTTTGAAAGTAACTACACGATGAATTTTCTTTAACACCAAACCCTGCTGAATAGCTTGCAAAAGGTTTTTATAATGAATCACATAATTTCTCTTTGGACTAAAATCATTGATTAATTTATTGGTAGATCCAACTCGTTTATTCTCTGAACAAAATGGTAAATCGTTGTGTTTGTCATGTAGACTATCGGGATAATCTAAATCAACTTCAAGTATACATCCCTTTCCTTGAGAATTAAGATTTTCTATCATTTCCATACTGAAATCTGCAGCATTTATAAATTCAAATTCATCATAAGGCAATTTTTGACTCATTGCCCATCCATATAAGTTATTTGCATCTAAATAGAGTAAGTATTTTGAGATTTCTGCTGGATTATAATTAGACATATACTTATTGTTAGCTTTAGAATATCTGAGCATAGCATTGCACATTCCCCCTCGAATACCTTTCTCAATTAAGTTATACATTTCAACATCCTTGATAGTCTGTAGCTTAACACCAGTCTTGTATAGCATTGCATCCCAAGCTAATCCTGGAGATGTATAATACCAACACGGATCTAGTTTATATTCTTTGAGAGACACATTTCTAAAAGTTTCAAAAACATCTGCTAATAGTAAAACATCGTTAATCATATAAGTTCTAGTGTAGTCTTCTAAAGTTTGACAACTCATATTCTTCCACACTTGCTGGGCGTATTCGTAACTCTCATTGCTAATTGTTTCTCCGGATAAACTGTTATAGAAGTCTTCAATCGGAGGAAGTTCCGTATTAGAATATTTTTTAAAGGAATCCATAAAATCATATGGGTAGATACCTTTTCGCCTCATTAGATGGAACAAATGTTCGTTATTGTAATACTTTTTTGTGATAATGCATTCATCATCCTCTAAATTACCACTGAGATAGTCCAAACTGGAAGGCATGAACCCCAAACTATCTAGGAATCTTATTTCATATTTTTTACGATCTTTATCATGCAAATGATAGCTAAAACTTATAAACTTTTCAATGTTAGCCGAGATGCTTTTAATTTCTACACCTCGCTCCTTTAGTAATTCACTCGACTTGTCATCACTGATAATCAGATGAGAATCGTATCCTTTTAGATTATGGAAGAATACTGGTATAAAATTATTTCTACATTTCAACAAGTTACATGCATTGCAAAGAGGTCCTCTGTATAATCCAGTCCAATGATCGTGATCTCTAACTTTATCCCCGCAAAACTTATTTCCACAGGCGGGGCATGATTCACAACTATGGAAAGACTCAACTTCTTCAAAGGTCAATTTTTGCATTCTCATGTCAGCGATGCTTAAGAGTTTTTCACCTACTTCTAGAATATATTCATTAAACTTTAAAATTGTGTCGTAGCCAATATAGCTTTTCATGTCATAGATAGTATTAGTGAAGGAATCGACAACGACTACACAGAAGGCAGAAGCCACATGTTTGCCAAAATTTTCATTCCATGACTCGCTGGGTGAACGGCTCACATTATCAATTTTATAAATAACAGATTCAAAATCAGCATAACAAACATATCTCTGTTTTTGAGTTTTCTGAATTCCATCGAACTCAATATAATCTTTCGAAGGTTTGATCATTTGGAGTGGAGAATTATTCATACAGTCACTCAAATGGTTTTCGTATTTTTCTTCACTGTAAAAGTTATTATGACATCTAATACAAAATTTGTTACTTCTGCTATTCTGCGTATTCATTAATCTATCTATGTTTTTGATCAAGCAATAGTGTCCTTCTCCAGAATTGTCGGTGACTAACAAAAGATTAACTACTCTATCTACGTCTACATTAACCTTCTTAGAAACTTTATAGGAATTTATTTTTTCATCATCTTCAACATTATGAACCAGAATATTAATAGCCAAGTTGTTTCTTTTCTCAAATTTATCCACATCTTTAACCTGGAAAGGAAATTCAAAACCATCAAAGTTAACCTTCGAAATATGATCTTTATAATTACTGATCCTAGCAGGATTGTGTTCTACGGGAAATAAGTGTGCTAAAATACACCACATAAAACATTTATTGTCTTTGTTCTGTATATTTATTACTGCTTTTTTATTTTTAATCCAATCAGGTAGTTCTATATACTTTGATCCTGATAATGGTCTGATTCTTGTCTGATACATTCTTAACCCTATGATTCTATTTAGTCTGAAACCAGATCCTCTACCTTGATGTTGTTGAAGTCTATTTATCAAATCTAATTTCACTGTTTCGTAAAACGATTTCCTGTTCTCTCCTTTATGTAATGCCTTACTAGTCGTAGTCAAATGATCTAAACGAGCTTCCTCTGTTCCTTCTTTTTTCATTTCACATGTTAAAGAGAAATATATTTTTACACTACTATCCTTATAAATGTCTTTAAAGACGTCACTTTCCTTTTTATTTAGGAACGATTGAATATTATTAGAGTTTCCTGTGTGGATAGTATCCCTCAAAACATCGCCAACTTCTTTGTATTCACTAAAAACAGTTTTATCAAAAGGAAACAACTTTCTCAATTGATAATTCGATTCCCTATTGATAGCATCTTGGTTTTCTTGATTTTGTTGGTCAGATAATCTCTCGAGTTCTTTTAAGATATCTTCTTTTTTCATAGCTCTAATGTTCGCCTTGTTCATTGTTTTCTTAGAGCCTAGAACAGCTCGTAGTTGATCCCTGGTTAGTTTACTGTAATCTTCTACTTCCATTTATTAGCTAAAAATACTCACGATTATTTTAATATACTTTTTAACTAATAAATGCACTCGATTCTCGAAATTTATGACCCTAAAAAGAGAAACGACATAGTTCAGAGCTATTTGAAAAACCGAAAAGAGCACAAAGTTAAAAACCTACAAGAGCGTTCAGACTTGGAACATATAGAAGATCATAGAATAGATGTATTTAAACCAATTTTAGAATCAAATAAAAAGCTTCAAGAAGAAATAATTGATGAGAAAAACAAAATAGTTGAAACTTTGAACAACTTCAAACCTCTTTCTCAACATTCAATAGGTACACCGACAATAAAACAAAAGAGTCTTATTAAACAACCATCAGTGCATTTACCGAAAGAAATTTTACCTAGTTCATCTTCCCCTCTTGTAGTTAGTAGTCTAATTGTTAGTTATCTTCAAGACAACTCCGATAGAAGTAATGCTGGCTATTCTGTTAAGTTTGACAAAGATGAAAAAAAGTATACTATCGGTAACAAAGATATTACGTTTACCCAGAACATGATCAAGATTAACAATGATGAGTACACTGCAACTGAAGGATTAATGGAGCTCTTAACCAAAAAGTCCCCCAACTTGAAAAAGATTGACGCAGAAGATACAAAAAATTACCAAACAATATTATTATGCTCTAATGGCTTGTATCAGGGGTTTGATAAAAGTAGCAAAAGGTATAATTCCGATTCAAGTGACAAGTGGGCGTTTATAAAAGCTAACTATTTTGTTGCAAAAACTTCTACAACAACATCAGGCAGTTCTATTTCATTCATTCCATCGAATACTAATTCTCTAATCGACTCCTTGAGACTATCCATTGCTTCATTTCAGGCTGGTAACAATGGGGAATATAATAAGATCAATGCCATTCTAGATGAACTAGTGAAACAGAAAAAGATTAAAAAGAAAGACTTGGGAGTAATTTACTTGAATATTGGATTGTAGAATTCAGTAGTAGATTTGATTTAGTGTTTTACAATCTTACATATACCAACACAAGCTTACATATTTATACAGTTTGTTACATAATCTTACACTTATTTTTTCTATACCAACACAATCTTACATATTTTTATGGTTTTTTTTACATACTCTTTTACTTATTTTTTCACACTATTTAAATGTCTCAAAAGGTTGTACTGGCTAGAATGTATATAAGTGACCAAGACAAGTCTCCTCTCAGAATTAACAAGAGAAAATGGGTTTTGCAACATAACTTTACTAGAACAACTTTATACGATGGATTAAAAGAGTTAGCAAAAGAGATGGATGTTAGTAAATACTGTTCAAATAAGAACAACCCATCCCCTCAACCTCATGCAGAAGTTAAGCTAAAGATTGCCTCTGAACATAAACTTTCGAATATTGAAAGAAACTCCAATAAAATAAATCTTTTATCACCATTATATTTACCTAGCTTTAAGTCGGAAATTAGTTCAACACCTGTCTGTTGACTTTAGCAAAAAAATTTATTATTTTTATTTTTATAGTATGGTTTGCTATATAAATGAGTAACACAAGAACGTTGAATGATATTCAAACAAGTGATCATAGAAGAATGAAAAAGAAACCATTTAGTGGTGTGGGAAAATCAGTTAGGGGTAGTGAAACTGGAACTATAACTATAACTGAAGAAGATTTTAGAGATGTAGGACTAAAGCAGGCCATCAGTATCCTAGGAGGTGTTGAAAAATGTTTAGACATTGTCGAAGGTGTTTGTAATTATACTCCAGAGCATTTGAATAATATGAGTCAGGCATGTGCTTATTATGCTAACGAATTAATAAATATCGCTAACGAGATTAAATCTATAGAAAACTGTTCTCATAAAAATAATTTGAAGATCAAACTTTTTGCTACATATCAACAGCTTCTGCTGGAGTCTAATATAGATGAAAGACATAATAACCACGAATTGAAAAAACAAGTTCACCGTCTACAACAGTTAGTAATAAAAAACGAAAGTGTTGAAAACCGCGGAAAAGCTTTGCAAAAACTCATTGCAGAGGCAGAAAAACATGAAATCGAAGCGAAACAACGTCAAACTAGATCAAACCCTTCGGATTTTTTTCCCTGTTAAAAAGTTCACAGCTGGTCAGATGGAAAATATAATGACATGTGCAAGAGTACAAAAGGATATTCGAAAAAAACTGAAAGACAATATTAAACAAAAAATCTATGCTAAAACAATACGTGTAAAGCTACCAAGTAAGGAGGAACGCGTGGGGTTACGAATAGTAAAAAAATTAGATGGGCGTTCAACAGTTGATCTTGATACGTTCCAGTGTATCATTGAACATAAAGAGTTCCTAGGTTTCCGAATAAAGACGATAAATAAATACATTAAGAATTTAATGCGCGTCTAAGTTGTTCTCTATCACAACCACCACCTAACTGAAAGTCGGGAATATCTCGATTTATTTTCGTTCGAGTCCTATCAGGAAAGTTTGAACTATTTGTTGGGAAGTCTCTAAGATTTTTACGATTTATTCTCATCTTTCTCCTATGTTCTTCCTCGCGTAATTTTTTATTATTAAGTTCATCTATTTTTCTAGTTTTATTAAATCTATTAGTTTTCCTAGTCATTTTGATTTCAATAACACTATTTGGATAAAGTTTGCAAAAAGGTTTATCATTGCAATAAATATATATAGGCTGAGAACCAGCATAGAATCTGGTTTTAAAATTCTTGTCTATGTCTTCGTATAATTCATCTTCACAGAAAAATGAATGTTTTTTAATAGTTTTCATCACTATAAATGTGTCAGATAGAAAACGGTCCGATGATAGGAAGTAGAAACGTTTGGATCTTTCTTGAGCCAGTTTTTCCCTAAGTTTTTATAGGCAGCTAGGTGTTTGACTCGACATTCATCATCACACGTATGTTGATGCAAATACATATGTTGTCTATGTGGTCTATATATAAACTTAGTCATTTATTATGTTATCAGCCCGGTGGCTGGTGCACCTTCAGCGTGACTTAATCAATCATCCGGATGTCCTATTCTATGCTCGCAATCTTTAAAAAATGGATGTTTTTTCTAGCATACATATACAAATCCGTTTTCCGTATTCCGTTTTCCGTTTTCCGTTTTACTTAGCAAAACGGAATAAAACATGTACTTCGATTAGTAAAACGGAAAACGGAAAACGGAAAACGGAATACGGAAAACGGAAAACGGATTTTTATATGTTCGCCAGGAAAAACATGTCTAAAATGTGTTCAGAGGACAAAGAAGTACTTCAACATCTTTCTAAACTTTCCGTTGTCCGAGTCGCTAGTCTTATCAATAGTAAAAAAGTTATGTTTTTCTTTCCAAATTTCTGTAACCATCTCTAAAAATGTGGGTTTATCCACTTCACCACAGTGATCCCGATAGATATATTCTAAATTCATTTTATCCTGAGAAAAAACGATGAAAAAGTTGGCGTTCTCCCTAATAGTATTTTTCGGTAGTTTTATATAATTTTGTGAATGTAAAAGCAATCAATGTTGTTATGTCTACCTCGAGTGTAATACTGTTCTATTTTATTCTGTTTTTCGAGCATTAAATCATCGAATATTATCAACGTTTTTCTATTTGGGTCTATAGAGCTTGGATCTGGAATGTCATCACAGTTTTCAGAAATGTGTATAGAAATTTCCTTATTTTCTTTTTTGTCAACCATAAAATTTTGCGTTCGAAAACATTCTCTGATTTCTTTTTTACTCAAACCATTCGCAAAACCGTTGATAAGTGCTTGATAGCATGGCTGGAAAAGAGTGGTAGAGAATATGTACAAGTTATCATAATCTAAATAATCTTCTCCACAGTATTCATCTAATAATAAGTTCATTAAAAGATTAGTTTTGCCACACCCAGACTTTCCTATTATACAAGCTCTTATTGAACTAGGAAGAAGAGGATTGTTGTTTCTTTTAGAATAAAAATTTTTAACT